TTTTTTTTTTTTTTGTTGTTTTTGGAAAAAAAAAAAAAAAAAAAAAAAACGCGCATATCTTGTACCCCTGCAAAAAAAATTGGATTCTTTAAATCCAACACCAAAATATGCAATATTGTTTAGCTTTGACGTATGCGTGTTGCTACTGTACTCCAAATTGTAATAAAGAGATGAAAACTTAGACTAATGAATGAAAATGATGACAAAACAAATTTAACACAGTTCGGCTTTTTAGCCTATGTTCTCAGGCAAAGATGGCAAATAATCCCACAAATTGAACATAGGGAGAATATAAAAATGGCTTAACCAGAACACAAATAAACCCCAAATACCTCCAACTATAGTTTAATTAGCAGTATATGTTTATAACCTATATACACTAAATATTTCATAAGTAATTTTACATAGGAAGCTTAAAAACTAACTTACAGAATTAGAGCAGTGGTGGGATTCCGTAAAGACCTTATGCAGCTTTTTGACTTAGTGTCCAATCACAAACCTAACACTATAAGAAATTCCATCAAGCTATCTCTTTATCAAAGAACTTCTATGTATCAGAGATCAAATGCGAATTAATCATGCACCAAATGCATAATATTCTGTCCATTAAGTGAGGCAGCACAAAGCTGCAGACAACCCAAAAATTACAACCTCTAACAGATTGTCCATTTTGTACTGAGTAGATGGGTGTGGTTTGAGAAACATCACATCAAGTTAAATATTCCATGAAGGCATCTACTAGTCGGGCTTTTACAAAGGCAGCAGCATGCCTTATTGCTTACAAATGCATGCCAAAAAGCCATAAAATGCCTCCTTCTCAAAGGCTTAACTATTGGGTGATAGGTTTGCATGGTGCATGAAACACACTCAATTAAAATTCAAGCCACATGAATAATAGTATCTCCACAGACCACTTAAGGAGAAGCAAACATTAAAAATAAAACTCAAGTCTAATCTCATTGCTACCTAAATATAAGCCATCAAAGTCATATAACATCTATTACTTATCACATACCATGTGATTGAATTCCAGTTTATGAATAAATAAATAATGCAAAAGCTCAAAAGGTTGTGATAAAATATGCCCTCAAATATAAACCAATGCTAAATACTGACAGGCGACCATTCATTTTGAAAGTGTATGTGAGGAGGAAGAGGAATAAGTAGTTAAAAACTGTTATAGTTGACAAGGACGTGAACTAACAGAATGTAATAAAATAGATGCAAATAGGAAAATAGAGAAAGGAGGGAAATCTGTGAATTGCAGGAGAGATTGGGCACTCTCAAGCCAGCGATACTATAGTACAGCATTCTTTCCCCGTGGGTCATATTGATCCAGGGATACTGTTTCTAAAGAACACCTCTTTTCTATTTGACTCTTGTCTATTCTTTCCTATTACCAGTTGAGCCTGCCAAAAGGCAAAAACTAACAGATAACTAAGCACATAATACACAGTCACGTAATAATTTTCTCTAACTATACTTGCCTTATCAACCTTCGAGATTATTTCATCAACACGTTGCTTGAAACCCTCCATTTCAACTGCATCGCCATTAGAATTTCCTGTGACAACATTCCTGACCTCTGAAATCGATACACCAATTTTTTCCATCTGACAGAACAAACGAACACCATATGGTATTTTAAATGTGCATTCTGAATAATATATATATATATATATATATATATAGAGAGAGAGAGAGAGAGAGAGAATGCAAACAACAAAAGTAATAGTAAGCACCATTCCAGTTACAGATCAAGAAAGTGAGTAAAAAGTCTAGGGCTGCCTAAGCAGATTCAAAACAACAGAATCATTTAATTTACAAACCAAGACATTGCGGTTTCAGTTCAAGGAATGACATATTTAATTTTCCACTTGAACAAATCAAACAACTCCAGTAATTTTATATGCACAAAATTAAAATACCCAACACATAAATTCAAAACGAGACTCCTTACCTCAGTCTCTGGCGGAGTGTAAAAAATCAGGAACGGCACGGAATTGCTAATAAATATATGAGTTCCATTGGGTCTATTAACGATTAATAACCGGAAAAAGAGAAAACATTTTTTTTCTTTTTCATTTTGGTGGAAAAGTTATAAACCCGAAGTCTTTTCGACAAAGAGCTGCTTTATCTGAGCGTGTGAGTCCAGAATGTTAAGAAACAGAGAGAATACGAAAAGAAGGGAGAAATTAGTACCCATAAGAAAAGACGAGGAAATGCAATGAAGAAAGCAAGACGTCTGAGAAAAAAAAATTGGAGAAACACGGTGGTATTTTATTTTTTTCTAAACTCTACAATACAATTCGATGCCGTTTACGAGCTGAATTGGTTTTAATTTGTCACTATCTCTTTTTGATATATCCAAGGGTAAAATATTTTTTACGGTTTTACTTTCTTTACCTTCGTTCAAAATAAACTCTTTTATCTTTATATTTATTTCTTTTAATTATTTTTAGTCACTATAGTTTAAGATAGTTTTTTATTTTATATAGTTGTAATTTTTTAATATTTTTACTTTTTATTATTATTTTTATTATAATTGTTGAAACCCGAAAAATTTTGATCTTATCCACAAATAGTTTAAACTTCTAGTTTGAAAATCTCACCAATTAAGGAATGTTCGGAGTCCAGACTAATCCTTAATTAATGGTTTTAAAAAATGATACGTAGGAATTACCACCTATGTTTTACTCAAAACATCAAAAAAAGAAAAAGGTTTTCGAAAAATGTCAATTTGGCCTTTATAATCAGAATTGAGCTCAAGGGTCGGTTACGTGTAAGGAAGGTGTTAGGCACCCTACAACGTCCTAAATTGGTAACCTTATGATGAAACTAGCGCGATAGAAAATAATAGTTTAAATATTTAGTTCCCTTTATTAATAGTTATTTACATGCTTGAATTTAAATTACACCATTTTACCCTAAGACGTCTACATAGTTGCTTTTATTTATGGAAATAGTTAATGTAGATATGATAGATGATAGAGAAAGGAATTGATGAAAAACCTCTTGAACGAACTTTTATAAAATATTCTTCAAAATATGGAATACTTGAGGTGCTTTTGGTTTCACACTACAATGTGCCTCACAACTTTCTAGAAATACAAAAAGATGGAGAGAGAAAATTTCAAGTTTATCTAGGACTCTAATAGGTAATTTTTTTGGCCATGAGCATTGTAAACGAGCCTACTATTTATAGGCATGAAAATCCACCAGAATGGACCGTTCTGATTTCAAAACGGACTGTTCTAGACTTTTTTGTTATGTGTAAAATTTGAATCTAGAACGGCCGATTCGCAAAGTGGAACGACCTGTTCCGGATTTGAATGTCTGTTAGAATGGGACGTTCTAACCTAGGGTTATAGGCCTTGTTCCAAATTTTACACTTTGGATCTTTGGATGTCATGTTAGTTTGCTCTGGTGTTGTTTTCGGGCCTTCAGGAGCTTCTTCTTCATGCTGAAAGTCCATTTCTTTATTTTTGTACCCCTAGACGAAATTGGATGTCTACAGATGCCCATCTTTACTTGTCCTTTTGGATAACTACGTGTTGCTTTTCCAAAGGTAAGTAAAGACGTAGACAGTTCGTCTAAGTTTTCTCTTTGTCTCTTTGTGTAGATGCCTCCACGCCGTTTCCTTCAGACAGATGGGTTTGCTTGTATCCCTGTTCTTTAGAGTTGCTAAGTGTTGGGTTGCATACTCTATTGGGTAATAAGGATGGCAAACTGTACCACCTAATCTTCTGTCTTCGTATAGATGCTCCATGTTGCTTCCTCTGGTTTCTTCCTCGTGATAGTGAGGTGAAGATCTGAGTCTTCTCTTTTGCTTTGATAGTGGGTGCTACCACATTGTTTCCTTTGGGTAGATGAGCTTACTTGTATCCTTGCCCTTTGGAATAGTTGAGCGTTGAGTTACGTGCTTCGTTGGGTGACAAGGATAATAAATTGTACCATCTAGGCGTCCAACTTGGTTAGAGACTGTATTGTTTCTGCTTATTTTGTGATAGTGTGACTTTATTTGTTGCTCGCTGAAGAGGGAGTATATTCTGAGTTCAACCTTTCTAGGCTGAACTGATATTAAGGTTTCATCCAGCCTATGGTGAGTGTTGCTTGTTCCAGCCTCTCCAAGATGAACTGGTATTAAGGATCCAGCCGACCTTTCCTACTCTTGTACTAGTTTTGAGGATCTAGTAACTTTTTCCGCTCTTGTACTGGTTTTGAGGGTCTAGCAACCTTTTCTGCTCTTGTAGTGGTTTTAAGGGTCCAACAAACTTTTCCACTCTTGGTGTTGAGTATTTCTATGCGGCTTCTCCAAGCCTACAAAGGTGAGTATTTCTGCACGGCCTTTCCAAGCCTACAAGGGTGAGTATTTCTGTGCATCCTCTCCAAGCCTACAAGGGCGAGTATTTCTGTGCGGCCTCTCCAAGCCTACAAGGGTAAGTATTTTTGTGCGGCCTCTCCAAGCTTACAAGGGTAAGTATTTATGTGCGGCCTCTCCAAGCCTACTAGGGTGAGTATTTTTGCAAGGCCTCTCTAGGCCTGAGGTGTGTTGACTTGAGGAACTTGGCAGTATCCTCCCATTGATGTTGTGGAGTGCTCCTCGGGTTGGCAGGCAGGGAAATGCTTGAAATGTCCCCATTTTGGGCCAAGGCTAGCGGGATGTTAGTGATGCTCCACTAGGTGAGTATTATGATGCCCCTCTAGGCGTCTCTGTTGGGGAGTGAGATGTGCGTAGGGATTCTGGTGTTGTTTTTGTTGTGTGAGTATTATAATGCCTCTCCAAGTTTCTTTTGGGGATTGGTTGGCATGAATCTAGTGTTACTCCTACCAAGCTGAGTATTATGATGTCTCTCCAAGCGTTTGTTGTGGATGGTAGAGTTTTTGGGAGAATCATACTGACGGTCTACTTGTGGGAGTAGGAACGTTCCTATGTCATGATTGACACTCAGATGATCTGGCTCTCATTGAGTTGTTTGTCTTGGTCATTGTGGGATGGTTTGTCTTGGTCATTGTGGGACGGCTTGTTGTGGGGAGACCTTGCCTCCTTGTAGATGGGTCCCTGGACTGAGGACTTCCTGGTGTTTACTATATTGTTTAGCTTCGTCTTTTTCTAGTGTGGAAGCTTTGCCTTTTTTCTGTGTTGCTTATTTATCTTTTGTATTATTATCATATCTTATTTTTTTAGTCTTGTTTTGTTTTCTTAAATTGTAGTGTAAGTAAAGGCGAGAAAATGGAAACAAAATCTAATCTCATAGATATATAACTTTTGGAGTACAATGATAAAGCAAATACAAATACAAACAAAAGAGTAAAATATCCTAACGAATAATCACTAGTGAAAAATCAGTCTTTTACGTCACCTCTTTGTCGTCAGACATACAAAAAACCGACGTAAAAAAGATGCGGTGGCATTTTTGTAATTTTTGTGAACTTTTTTACGTCGGTGCCCCTTATGTCCGACGTAAAAAGGTCCATTAATCTTTCCGCGCGCGTCAGTATTTGAAAGCAAGAGACATGTGAAATGGTGTGAGAGAAAGAAGAAGCTCAACCGCTTAGGTCGGATTTATTTTCTGTCACTCTTCACTTTCCTTCTTCGGTTTCGGTTTCGTCAGAAGTAACACACCAACACCAAAATTTCTTGCTTTTTTACTTTGTTTCTAAAGTCTAAACTTATGCATGATATATTTATTTTTATGTTTATTTAGTTTCTTTCAATTTTGTGCTATGCTTTCAGCTATGATTATTCAGGATATGGAGCATCTACAGGTAAGGTATGTAACTCGCCTGATTCCTAAGTTTGTAAGCTTGTTTCGTGTAGAGGATTTTGATTTTGCATCTGGAACGACTCATTCTGCAAATAGAACGGCCTGTTCTGCAAGCAGAACAACCTATTCTCCAGTCTAAATGGCACGTTCTCCTAGCAAAATAGCCCGTTCTGCTTGCACTCGTTATGTTTTTTTTATAACTTTTTACTACGGCTCTTGGGAATGTCCGACGTAAATTTACGTCTCCCGGATTAACGTCAGACCTTTTTCTGACGTAAAAAGCTTAAAATAATCGACGTAAATTACCCCTTTTATACTAGTGAATCTACTCCTTAACTAGGGATCGGGGAATTGCCTCTGCAACCATCCCATCATCTACTTATTCCATTACTGCTACTGATGATGTTGTTGGCGCATCTCCTCCTACAGGTTGATGAGGTGGCTGTCGAAACTCTAGCACTCGTAGGTGCTTTGACTCAAGAGTTCCCCATAATCTATAGTAAACACAAACATTGTAAGGATGCGAGATGCAAAGAAAATGCAAAACAAGAACGGTTTGGATTTTCTTTTGTATTTGAAGGTGAACTCATACCCTTTTGTGCACACATGTGCTATATGCATGCTATGCAATGATGATTTTATGCTAATGCTTAAAATGCATACTTAATTTTGCTTTCAAGAAATTAATCTATGCACATTAATTGTTGGTATAAATTATTAGCCTTTATCCGTGTCGAATTTATTCTAGGTGTTGCTTCTTGAACCTAAGGCTTGTGTAATGTGGCCCTCCTACCTGTACCTGATATGATCTATTAGCCCTTAGATCAAGTGTACCTATAGATATCTAATTTCATCCAGGGCATACAAACAAGGAAATGGACATCTAGCATGACCAGTATCTTTGGCACTGTTACCTAACAAACTCTAAGCTCTAATGTAGTATTTCAGACTAGAGTAACCGGTTATCACCTTGAGTGTGATTGTCGGCAAGGCTTATAGACTCTAAGGCCATACTTGGGTCGGTCGTATGTCAATGACTCCCTATATTTATGCGCTCATGCCTAGTGAAGTCGCCGTCTGTTGAAAAAACTAAAAAGAATTGAAAAAAATAAGTATAAGATTAAAAATATTTATTTTAAACTATAGGTACTAAAAATAAAGTAAGAGAAAATTTTATGTACTAGAAAGTATTTTTTCTTTCTCTTTGTAATCACCCATTATATTATTTTTTTTATTAAAAAAATAAAGAAGCACAAAGTCTATTTTCTCTTAGTTTTTATTAGATACATTTATCCCTAAATCCATACTACAAATTCTCACTAATTTGGATAGTTACATATTCTCAAATATCAAACAAAATTTCTTTTCCTCTATAACCATATTTTTCCAAAACCATTTTCAGGAGAAAAAATAAAATAAATGTACACAGACACAAAGTGTCTCTTTCCATACTAAGTAAATTGATACTCTCAAATTAGATAAATCTTAAAATCAATTTTATATCATAAACTATTTTTTAATTCATGATATGAACTTAAA